TGGGAATTACTCTGAAGCAGTTTCAGGTGCACATAAAGCCCTCTGCCTTTGGTGCACCTTTGTAACGGAGCAAAGTGACACCAGTGTCACTGCTGCGGCCGCCGGGAGGAGGCCATATGGAAAGGGGGTGAGGGGGGTGGTCCTGCTCTCAGCAAGATCAGGGCGTGCACACGCACTTGACGAAGCAGAAGCGGCTCAGCACCGCAGCGGCCGGGTGGGCTAGCAGTGCTGCTCAGGGCGCTCAGGCCGTGCTCAGGCGCTGCTTGGAGTGGAGCCGACCGGGGAGCAGCGGTCCTCTCAGCAGCGGGAGCCACTGGGTGCTGAGCCGATTTACTGCTGCGGGACCACCGTCCGCTTTTGCCCGTGACAGTTCGCTGGCCTGCACCGCGTTAGTACCCCCGGCCCACCCTGCAGCCCCGACTCGCTCGGCCGTCTGTTTGCACTTATGCCCGATTATGGCAGTGCCGTCGTGATCCCAACATAAAAAAAGTCCCCCACCCCGTCTTCCATCCCCTTCCTCTCAGGCTCCCGACTCCTCCACATTCTGGTTACTCGCTCCCCCCCCCCCCTCCTCTCTGACGACCAGCATAGTTGTTTATGTGGGGACAGCGGCCGGTCACGTCCGTCGTCAGTGAGAGTGGGATAGAGAGTGAGAGTAAGAATGAGAGTGTTGGAGAGAGTGAGAGAGAGAGAGAGAGAGAGAGAGAGAGAGAGAGAGAGAGAGAGAGAGGGGGGGGGGTGGAGGAAGAAAGGGGGGTTGGTATAGATGCAATTACGGTGAGAGGAGAGGGAGTGAGACGGGATGAGGAGACATAAGACGTGCGGATGGAAAAAGAGGGAGGGGTGAGGAAGGGTAGATGGTGTGTGTGTGGTCGCTCACTGTGAGACTGCAGGCAGGGGGACCCGGGGTCAGAGGGTGCCCTGCCAGGGTTCACCGTCGGGGTCCCTCTGAGGCCACTGATCCCGCCAGGGGACGGTGAATTCGGCGCAAGAAAATAGACACAGCATCGCACTGTAGCCGGGCACAGCAGCGGCGGCGGTGCTCGGCGCTGCGGCGAGCGCCGGCAGGGTAGGCAGCCCATCGGACTGCTAACGAGGGGCAAGGCGAAGGGACCCTCCGCGGGGGCGGAAGGAAAGAAAAGGTGATCACAGGAAACAGAGACCTTCTTCGCATCGGCAAAGGCGGGGCGCGGCAGATGATAGGAGAGGACGGAGTGCTGCTACACAAAGGAAGAGAAGTAAGTCGAGAGTCGATAGATGCAAATAGGAACAACTCTCACTCGTTCGCTCGCTGCACGAAGGCGGGGTGGCGCGCGGGGCGGCGGACGGAAAGGGGGTGAGAAGAAAACAGAGGGTAAGCTTTACAAAGGGGGCGCAGAGAGAGAGAGAGAGAGAGAGAGAGAGAGAGAGAGAGAGAGAGAGAGAGAGAGAGAGAGAGAGAGAAGCAAATGTCGGTAGGCGCAAGGGTACAGCAGCGGGGCAGAGAAGAGGCGTGGCGCCTTTACTTTTTGAATACGGAAATAGAATAAAGGCGAGTCGGCCTTCCTCCGCCGCTGCCGTAGCCGCCGCCCCGGCCGTGTACGCCTTTCTGCCGTCCATACATTATTTGAATATGGGCGCTCGCGAACGTGAAGGGGGATGGGGGGAGTGTATCCGCACTCTCACGGGGTCTCAACAACCCTCTTGTCGGGGAAGCAATTTTGAAGGGCACAGTGCGTTGTTATTTCGAAGGGCGCGTACGGAGTGTATAGGTCGAGGCTTAGTAAACAACTCATTAAAAGGTCGCGAGCTGTTCAAATAATGTTTGGAATATAGCATGTATACGTTAAAAATGATACGGATTACATCAGATTGCATTTATTATGGAAGAAAAAGTTCCTCAAATTTGTATTTAAGCCCTGATTTTGAAACGAAGCTGTAATTTGAATAATTATTACCTCTTAATGCTTAACCCGGCTTCTCTCTAGATGAAGGTACCTGCATTGTAAATGCCGGTTGTTTTGCGATTGCAAATAAAATTCTTCGTAATGCGAAGAAAATCGTTCCCAATTTGCGAAAGTAATCCTTCGTAAGACAAAGCAGACAAAATCTTCTGCAATACGAACGAGGTCTTGAAAAGAATATTAATCTGCAGAGTGCACATGCCGCTTTTTTTCTTGCATTGACAGAGTAGCCGGGTTGCTCCGTTTGTTGGGGTTAAGTACCCTTCTCCATCCCCCGCCCGGGGCTCACGGCGTCGGTAGTAGGACCTCCGGCGGGACCAAAGTCCCCTGACGGGGATGAGGCGATGAGACTCCCTAACGACCCGCTACTCGGTCGCTGGCTGCTTACGTGCCTGCGAGTGTATAACAACGAGGGCTGAGTTTACCTGCTTATCTCACGGCGTCCGCAGCCTGCAGCCGCGCCAGAGGGGCGGAAGGCGCCGCCGCCGCCGGGTGGTGGGAACCGAACCGACTAAACTTTACAGCGCATGGGGTGTGTATATGTGGGGTCACTGACACCAGGCAAGGGAAAAGGGGAGGGGGGAGGCACATGTGTTGCAACACAACAACTATGTGGAAAGTTTAAGTTTTCTTGTTACCCGATACCAGACCGGAACTTCTGAAACGGCATTTTAAACTAAAAGACAATTCGAGGACAATACCAACATTATCTGGAAATTTTTTCCCTCCATACTTTTTTTTTGTTTATCTCAATACCGTAGAGTACTTTCTTGGATTTTTCGGGTTCTCGTCTGTTGTATTTCTCTGCCTTATTTATGTCTTCTCGAGATGCCATGGCACCTCTCATTGAATATTAAAACGACACTGCGTTTTGCACTGGAGTGGCAGCGGCTTAAGGAACAATGCCACAACGAAAGCGTGTACAGGAGACGCCGCTAAGTAGGACACTGGAGCATTAACACGCACGCATTAGCGCCAACGACGCCGCGACCTGCGTGGCGGGCACCGCGCGACGCCCTCTGGGGACCTTAGCGCACCTCCCTGGGCCAGCTGGGGGCACCTTGTTCAGGATCATCTTGTTTTCGCTACCAGGCAACAACCAACAGTCGCCACTATCGTTACAGCTCCATAAAACCTGCACTGTAAAAGTGTGCAAAAATGGGGGTTTGATCAGCATTTTTTTTAAATGACAAATGTGGTAAAATTAAATTTAAATATATTGTGGAATTACAAAAAAAAAAGAGCAAAAAACATAATATCAAGACACCCTGTATGGACTAGGTATTCTTCGGAAAGCAAGAGTGAGCTTTCGCAATTCGCAATTTCACAACATAGCTTGTTAATCGTGAATTCATAGCGTTTACGAACTTGCATTCCTGCAAAGTTCAGCCTCTTATTCCAGCTCTCATAGCGCCTGGTAGGTAGGCAGCATCGTGTCTGCAGTGCATGCGCGTACTGCGGGCTGGCCTATCATGAGCATCGCAGGCGCCAGGCTCCTGTGTTTGTGTGTGCTGGTACCCAGTGTAGGAGTATAAGAGTGGCGCGTGCCCCCACTCGTTCGTTATTTCGAGATCCGCTTCCCTTATACGTGTCTTCCTTTCGTTCCCTTCCTGCCATAAGCCGGCCTAGTCGGAGACCAACCCCCCCCCGCCCCCACACACTGTATCCTGGCGCGAGGGAGTGGCGTTGACCTCACTCCAATCATCTCCTCCCTGATCTAAGTGGGCGACGGCGACCGACCACCGAACACCAGTGTGTGTGGTGGCGTGGTGAGGCGGGGTGGG